GAACGACTCGGCTCAAAATGGTTGTTTTGACTGACTTGACTTAATGAAAATGTGTTTGACCGTGTTAGACTCAAGCGTGCTTTATTTTGACCGGTTCGACATGAAATGGTTACGTTTTGACCGAATCGACTGAAGCAAAAATTGTTTGTCTGTGTTCGACCCAAATGTGCTAAGTTTTGTCCGACTCAAAGCTATCTGATTAAGTTTTGGAAGACTCGGCTGAAACAAAATTGTGTTTGACTGAGTTTGACCAAAGTTGGCTCTTTTTCGACCGATTGAACAGAACTCGTTCTTTTTCGGTCGACTCGACTGAACAAAAACTACTTTACATTGTGCTCGACCCAAGCGTGCTAATATTTGCCCGACTCGATCTGAACCGGTTTTGTTTCGACCGATTCGACTATAGAAAAATGTGTTTGAACGTGTTCGATCAATGCGTGCATTATTTTGACCGACTCGACCTGAACTGGTCATACTTCGACCGATTCGGCTGAAGAAAAATTGTGTTCGACCAAGTTCGACCCATGCGTGCTATTTAATGACCAACTGGACTCAAACTGGCTAAATCTCCACTGTAGCAAAATTGTGTTTGATTGGGTTTGACCCATTCACGCCATGTTTCGACCGACTCAGCTGAAGCAAAAATGTGTGAGACCGAATTCGGACCAAGCGTGCTACCTTTTGACCGACCCGACTCTAACTGACTATATCTCCACTGAATATACTATAGCAAAAATAGGTTTGACTGTTTTTGTCCCAAGTTGGCTATATTTTGACCAATCGAACTGAACTCATTCTAGATCAACCAAATCGACTGAAGCAAAAGTTGTTTGACTGTGTTCGGTTCTAGCGTGCATTGTTTTGACCGACTCGACCTGAAATGAAAATGGTTATGTTTCGACCGTTTTGACTGATTTCAAATGGGTTTGACTGTGTTCAACCCAAGTGTGCTCTGTTTCAGTAGTTTCAAATGACACTGCTTAAATTTCAACTGACTCGACTATAGCAAAAATTTGTTTGACTGTGTTCGATCTAATCGTGCTAAATTTTGACCGACTTAAACTTAACTGGTTATGTTTCGACCGACTCGACTGAAGAGAAAATGTGCTTGACTCTTTTCGACCCAAGCATGCAATGTTTCGACCGACTCGACTCGAACTGGCTATGTTTCGACCAACTCGACGGAAGCAAAACTGTAGTTGTATTTGTTTGACCCATGCGTTCTAGGTTTTGAACGATTCAATCTGAACTGGTTATGTTTGGACTGATTCAGCTGAAGCACGAACTGGTTTGATTGAGTTTGAACCGAGCGACCAATGTTTCGACCAAATCGACTGAAGTAAAACTGTGTTTGACTGTGTTCGGCCAAAGCGTGCTAATATTTGCCCGCCCTGACCTGAACTGGTTATGTTTTGACCGACTCGACTGTAGCGAAAATTTTTTTGACTGCATTCGACCCAAGCGTGCTTTTTTCGACCAATTCAACTCAAACTGTCTTTTTTTGGCTGATGTGAAGATGAGTTAGACAGTACTTGACCCGAGCGTGCTTTGTTTGGAACGACTCGACTCAAAATGGTTATTTTTTGACTGATTTTACCTTAAGAAAATGTGTTTGACCGTGTTAGACTCAAGCGTGCTTTATTTTGACCGGTTCGACATGAAATGGTTACGTTTTGACCAAATCGACTGAAGCAAAAATTGTTTGTTTGTGTTTGACCCAAACGTGCTAGGTTTTGTCAGATTCAAACCTAACTGATTAAGTTTTGGAAGACTGGACTGAAGCGAAATTCTGTTTGACTGAGTTCGACAAAAGGTTGCTATATCTCGACCGATCGAACTGAGCTGGTTCTATTACGACCGACTCGACTGCAGCAAAAAAAAAGTTTGATTGTGTTTGACCCAAGCGTGCAATGTTTCGACCGACTTGACTCGAACTGGCTATGCTTCGACCAATTCGACGGAAGCAAAACTGTAGTTGTATTTGTTTGACCCATGCGTGCTATGTTTTGAACAATTCAATCTGAACTCGTTATGTTTGGACTGATTCAGCTGAAGCAAGAACTGGGATTGATTGAGTTTGAACCGAGCGACCAATGTTTCGTCCAAATCGACTGAAGTAAAACTGTGTTTGACTGTGTTCGGCCAAAGTGTGCTAATATTTGTCTGCCCTGACCTGAACTGGTTATGTTTTGACCGACTCGACTGTAGCGAATATGTTTTTGACTGCATTCGACCCAAGCGTGCTTTTTCGACCCCTCAACTCAAACTGTCTTTTTTGGCTGATGTGAAGATGAGTTAGACAGTACTTGACCCAAGCGTGCTTTGTTTGGAACGACTCGACTCAAAATGGTTATTTTTCGACTGAATTGACCTAAAGAAAATGTGTTTGACCATGTTAGACTCAAGCGTGTTTTTTTTTGACCGGTTCGACATGAAATGGTTACGTTTTGACCAAATCGACTGAAGCAAAAATTGTTTGTCTGTGTTCGACCCAAACGTGCTAGGTTTTTTCCGATTCAAACCTAGCTGATTAAGTTTTGGAAGACTCGACTAAAGCGAAATTGTGTTTGACTGAGTTCGACAAAAATTGGCTATATCTCGACCGATCGAACTGAATTGGTTCTATTACGACAGACTCGACTGCAGCAAAAAAAAATTTGATTGTGTTTGACCCAAGCGTGCAATGTTTCGACCGACTCAACCTGATATGGATATGTTTCGACCGATTCGACTGATTAAAAATTTGTTCGACCGAGTTCGACTCATGCGTGCTATGTGTTGACCGACTCGACCTGAACTGGTTTTGTTTCGACCGTTTTGATTGATTCAAAAATGAGTTTGACTGTGTTCATCCCAAGCGTGCTCTCTTTCGGTTGACTCAACTCATACTGAATATATTTCAACTGACTCGACCTTAGCAAAAATGGGTTTGACTGTGTTTAAAACAATCGTGCAATTTTTCGAACAATTCGACTGAAGCAAAGTTTGTTTGACTGTGTTCGACCCGTGCGTGCTATTTTTTGACCACATCGACCTGAACTGGTTATGCTTCGACAGATTCCGTTGAAGCAAAATGGTGTTTGACCGTGTTCAACCCATGCGTGCTATGTTATGACCGAGTTGACTCAAACTGGCTCTATCTCCACTGTAGCAAAATTGTGTTTCACTGGGTTGGACCCAAGCGTGCTATGTTTCGACCGACTCAACAGAAGCAAAATCTTTTTTGACTGTGTTCGACCCAAACGTGCAATTTTTTGACCGACTCAACCTGTACTGGTTTTGTTTTGACCAATTCGATTGATTCGAAAATAGTTTTAACTGTGTTCAACCCAAGTGTGCTCTGTTTCAATTTACTCGACTCAAACTGGCTTCATTTCAACTGACTCGACATTAGCAAAAAGGAGTTTGACTGTGTTTAAAACAATCGTGCAATTTTTCGAACAATTCGACTGAAGCAAAGTTTGTTTGACTGTGTTCGACCCGTGCGTGCTATTTTTTGACCACATCGACCTGAACTGGTTATGCTTCGACAGATTCCGTTGAAGCAAAATGGTGTTTGACCGTGTTCAACCCATGCGTGCTATGTTATGACCGAGTTGACTCAAACTGGCTCTATCTCCACTGTAGCAAAATTGTGTTTCACTGGGTTGGACCCAAGCGTGCTATGTTTCGACCGACTCAACAGAAGCAAAATCTTTTTTGACTGTGTTCGACCCAAACGTGCAATTTTTTGACCGACTCAACCTGTACTGGTTTTGTTTTGACCGATTCGATTGATTCGAAAATAGTTTTAACTGTGTTCAACCCAAGTGTGCTCTGTTTCAATTTACTCGACTCAAACTGGCTTCATTTCAACTGACTCGACATTAGCAAAAAGGAGTTTAACTGTGTTTAACCCAAGCGTGCTCTGTTTTGGTTGACTCGACTCAAACTGGCTATATCTCCACTGTAGCAAAATTGTGTGTGAACGAGTTCGACCCAAGCCTTCTACGTTTTGATCAACTCGACTCAAACTTGCTATATCTCTACTGACTCGACTGTAGTAAAATTGTGTTTGACTGTGTTCGACCCAAGTATTTTTTGTTACGACCAATTCGACCTTAACTGGTTATCTTTCGACCGACTCGACCTGAACTGTTTTTTTTTCGACCGATTATATTGAAGCAAAAAAGTGTTTTTTTTTGCTTTCGACCACAGTTTGCTATGTTTCGATCGGCTCAACTGAAACTGGCCTTGTTTGGACTGACTCGACCAAAGCAAAATTCCTCTGACTGTGTTCGACCCAAAAATGCTATGGTTCGACAAACTCGGCTGAAGCAATTGTGTGTTTGACCATGTTCAACCCAAGCGTGCTCTGCCTCGACCAATTTGATAGAAGCAAAAATGTAATTGAATGTGTTCGACCCAAGCGTGCTATATTTCCAACGAATCAACTCAAACTGGCTACCAATTGACTGACTTGACTGAAACAAAATGTGTTTGACCTTTATCGAACCGAGCGTGCTATGTTTTGGCCGACTCGAGTCAAGCAAAAATGTGTTTGACTGTGTTAGATTCAAGCGTGCTGTATCGCGACCGACACGACCTGAACTGGTTATATTGCGACCGACTCTTCTGAAGCGAAATTTTGTTTGACTGCTTCGACCCAAGCCTGCTATGTTTCGACCGACTCGACCCATTCAATTTGGATGTGTCAAAATCTGAAATTTTTGCAGTACATCGACATATCTTTTTTTTTTGCCAAAACACCGCTTTTCGACTTTTGTCTAAGATCATGTAAAGGTTGAGCTCGGCTAGTGTTCGACCATGTTCTGACCACACTTTTCGTTCGACTTTGTGCTCGACTATTTTTGGTCAAAACTTAAGTCGAACTCCTCAACCCGGGCTGTAATGAGAAGAGTCACTCTCGGGTGGTGAAGAGGTCTGTTTTGAAGGGTGGCAAGGGCAATAAGTGGATCAGCCATTTGCTTCTAATACCAAATATTATCCATTTCCAACAGAGTACTGGCTGTACAATGGTCTTTTTGCACATGAGAATGGACAACTGTTATCACAAGGGAATGCTCAAACATCCCGACAGATTTCCCAACTTGTACGATAAAACAGACTACATACAACAAGCTACCAGACATGCATCCATCACTTACAAGGTCAGACGAAAACTTTTAGCCTTCTAGCCTATTGCAATCCCTCATTTTGCAAAAAGAAATTCTTAATATATTACCATGTTTCAAAAGCAGCATTTAAGGCACTAGAAGAAGCCTTATAGAGAGGAGAGGCCACTAGAAGAGGTCTTATAATTGATATATCACTCGAACCATTCCGATGGTTATTTGATATACCCGATTTTATATGGAAAGCAAAAAAATAAGACCTACCCGATCGAAATTATATTATAACTCAAAAAATTCCACTGAATATGATATATCATTCGACCCAGGGGCGGATCTAGGATTTTCTCGAGGGTTGGGCGGATTTTCGAAAATTTTGTCGACTTTTTTTTTGGTCGACCGAATTGATTTTTCAAGCTCTCTCTAAGCACGGTTTAGTCCCTATTTTGGCCTAATTTTGTGTGCCGCAGGCAAAATTTTGAAAAAACAGTCCAAAGAAGGCGTTTTTAGGCACTTTTTGGAAAAACTTGACCAAAAAATTGCGTTTTTTTCAGCGCTCGCTCCCCTCTCAAAATTATTATATATTGACGCCAAAGGCGCCGTTAGAAAAATTTTAGGGTCGTCGGCCAAAAATGGATTTCTTAAAAAGTACCAAAGGGGGTACCGATCACCCCCACCCTTAATCTGCCCCTGACTCGACCCATATCCATGAATATTTGTGGCAGCAGCGGATTTAGGAGAGCTTGGGCGGTCGCCCTCTTCCCTCAGGGATTCGACCTCTTGCCGACCCAAAGGGTCCCCTTTTGTACTATTTTCAGATATATATTTTTGGTGAGGTAACCTAAAACTTTTCTGAAGGCGCCTGCATATACTATTTTTTTAAGGAGCGCACGCCTAAAAACACGCAATTTTTTGGTCAAAGTTTTCCAAAAAATGCCTAAAAACGCCTTTTTTGGCCTCTTTTTCCAAAAATTTGCCTAAGGCGCAGAAAATTTGGTCATTACGGAGTTTTTATAGTGATTTGGGAGAGCTCAAAAAAATCAATTTGGTCGACAAAATTTTCAATCTTTCTTTTGAAAAGCCTCCCCCGCCCCCTCGAGAAAATCCTAGGATCTTTGAAAGGCAATCCAAGTTGTCTACGCATAGCTCGTTTCAGAGGATCTTTTCAGAGGATTTTTGAAATTGAGAGGATCTTTCAAAGGCAATCCAAGCTGTCTACGCATAGCTCGTTTCTATTGTTTCCCCACATTCCAGATTGAGTTTTTTGTTGAGCGTAGCTCTTTTTTTGCGACTCAAGGTAGTTTTTTTGCATCTAGAGCTTTTACGTGGTAAATCGGTCGGTCTGTGATAGACCTGAAGCTCAAGTTAGAGCTTTTTTATTACACTATTATTGCCCTGGGGGGGATCGAGTACTCTATATGACGTTCTCAAAGTGAACGCTTTACCACTAGTTTGTCTGTGAGATTACTGGCCGTACCGAGAAAATGTTTTATTTCTGACCTGGGTTACCTTATATAATCTAATTTTCTGGTCAGAAATTGTTTGTGAAATGTTTAAAAAAAGGAACAGCGATTTTCTTGAAATTCTTTATTTCTAATCTTGTTTCTGATCGAATTTAGCTAAATCTAGGCTATTTCTAGCTAAAAAAAAAAGACTCTGATTGGTGCTCGAAATCTCGACCTGCTATTTTGCATGCGGTTGTGCTAACCGCTAGGCCACATGACCCGATACTGTACGATAGTATTAGCAATCTAATGCAAAGCAACACTTGTTATAACAAGTATTAATTTGCATTGTATCGCTACGGCTGTTGTATATAATCGAAGCGTGTTTATCTCGTTGCGTTTGAGCAGTGAACTCATTTCTGGCTATTGCTTTCAAAAATTGTTAATTTCTAAACTAAGAAAGAAATAGATCATTTCCGTACAGAAAATACAAAAAATTTGGCTGCGTAATGTAATCTATAATTTGATGATTAATTTTTTTGATTTTTTTATCAGCAGGGTAATATTTCTAACTAGCTGTGTAGCTATTTGTGGCCCGGTACGTGATCTCCTAAATCAAATTAATCAGACTATGTCGTGTTGCACAGTGACTGGTTTTCAAGTAAAAGATGACAAACAATGGCTTAAGCGAAAAGCTAAAGAGTACATGCACTGGGTATAGGAGTAAAAAAAGGTTGTAGTATGATATTGCACATACAAAAATGATTACATGTCCAGGAAAAAGTGCGCTGCTATTTTTAACTTCGCAATGCGTATAGCAAGAAAGTTGAAAAAAAGTACCAGTTATAAGAAAAAAAAAGATGATTGGAGAAAGATGTAAGGGCGAAAACCTAACAGTTCGTAAGACTTTTTGAAATTATATACAGATATAGGTAAAATATCACGGTCGGACAAAGTGTCGTTTAATTTATTTTTCCGTTGTTTTTTGGCATTTAATACAATATGTGAAGCTCATCAGTTTTTCAGAGAGCTAATTTGGTTGAAAAGTTCAAGTTCCTTGCTTTTTCACAGCAAGAAAACCTCTAAAATAGTTATGATATTCTGACTAATTCACGCCTTGGAAACAACCTTTTTCAAATTTTGGCTCGGCTAATTCTTCTACAAAAATTTTATCAAGCACTTCTCAAAACTTAAACCCGAGATCTTGAATTGTTGCAGAGAAAATAAAAAGTGAATAAACGTTCAGTTCTATTCCACGTTAAGATAAAAAAACTTGACACTTCTATTTTTGGTGATTTTAAATGTTCTATGTGCTGAAAGTGGGAAATAACCTTGTCTTCAGTTAAAGTTTTGCCCTTTTTAAACTTTTTTCCAATGCAAAACCAGGCGAAGCAAATGTTCATCAGAATGATTTGAGTGGTATATTATCATCAAACTACTTAAATTCTAATTCCATTGTCAAAATAACACAAATTTTACTTATTGCTCATTATAAAAGTTTTGTTTTTATTTAAATTTTGGACAATTAAAGCGAGCGAGTTACGTTTGTTATAATAATGTTGGTTATTTAAAAAAAACGGTTAAACAAAAAAGCTAGTTTTTAATGATTAATGCAATGCTTCCCTAGCGTATAACATTCTAAAATTTCAAAAACAATTTTGTAAAGAATACTTGAAATTTTTTTTGAATGTAAGTTTTTGTTATTCATTTTTGTATGAAAACTGTATCAATAAAGACTCCACGCCACGCCGTATACAATAAAAAAAACAGCATGGATATAATAAAAAAAAATTTGTATACAAAACTATTGTTGACATATTATTTAGTCGAGCTAAACGGTTGTAAAGTTTTAGTTTTTCATTTAAATTCTGAACAAATCAAGCAAGTAAGTAACATTTGTTATAATAAAACTTTAGGACAATATTTACTGAAACTGGTCAAAAAAGTCAAAGTTTAAAATCGGTCGACCATTGTCGAGAAAAACCGTTATAAAGTTTTTGTTTTTTGGTTAAATTTAGAACAATCAAAGAGAAAAGTTGTTTTATTAAAATTGGTTATACAATGAAAAAACCGTTTAACAAAAAAGGCTAGTTTTTGAAGATTAAAGTAAAGCTTCTTGAGGTAAAAAATCACGGTCGGACAAAGTAATTTTTAAAATTAAATTTCCCGGCTTTTTTGGCGGTTACTACAATAAGTCAAGCTCATCAACTTTTAAGAGAGCTATTTTAGCTCAAAAATTTAAGTTTTTTGTTTTTTCACAACAAAAAAAACCTATAGATACTTATGAAATTCTGACTAACTCACGCCTTGTAGACATCTTTCTCAAATTTGGCTCAGCTAACACTTTTCAAATAATTTCATCTAGCAATTGTCAAATTTTTTAACCCAGTATTTTGAAAAGTTGCAGATAAAAAGAAAAAGTGAAAAAAAAACTTAGTTCATTTCCACTTTAAAATCAAAACTTGAGACTTCTTTGTTGGTTGACTGTAAATGTTCTAAGCGCTGAAAGGGGGAAACAACCTTGTCTTCGGGTGATTTTTTGCCCTTTTTTTAACTTTTTTCCAATGCAAAACTAGGCAGAACCCTTATTCCATTTTCATGAAAATAAAGTTTTTACTCATTGTCATAAATAAATGTTTTTTACTAAGTTAAATTTTAAACAAATAAAGCAAACAAGTAACATTTATTGTTTCTAACTTTTACGATAAAAGAGGCTAAAATTGGCCAAAAAAAGTCAAAATTCAAAAACCGGTAGACTATTATCGAGAAAAACAGGTGTAAATTTTACGATTTTTTTTGTTAAAAATGGAACAATTAAAGCGAGCGAGTAACGCTTGTTATATTGCAATTGGTTATATAAATTTAAAAGATGGTTCAACCAAAAAATGCTAGTTATTGAAGATAAAAGTAATGCTTCCCTAGCGCATAATATTTTGAAATATTTAATAAACCACTGTAAAAAAAACTTGAAAAAGTTATTGATTTAAAGTTTTTGTTATTCATTTTTGTAAAAAAAGACTGTAGTCAAAAAAGGCTGATGGTCGAACGGAATTCTAATCCTTCCTTCAGGTCTTCTCTCCACGCCGCGCCTAGAAACCAGCCTAGATATGTAAAGGAGTGTTTACAAAACTACTGTCAAATCATTCTATTGTCGAGCTAAACCTGTGCAAAATTTTCGTGTTTAAAAAAAATTGAACAAATCAAGCAAGCAAGTTACGTTTTTTGTAGTAAAACGTAACGACAAAGTTTTCGTTGTAAGTAAAAGCGGTCGAGAAGAGAGGAAGAGAAGAGGTTGACTATTGCCAAGAAAACTGGTGTAACATTTTCGTTTTTTAATTAAATTTCGAACAAATAAAGCAAGCGAGTTACGTTTGTTTTTTTTAAAATCGGTAATATGAATAAAAAAATCGTTGTAAAAAAGAAAAACTAATAACTATGATTCATGTATTGCTTCCCTGGCACATGATATTTTAAAATTTCAAACAAACTATTGTGATAAAAATTGAATTTTGATTTTGATTTTTTTTTGTTTTGTTATTCTTTTTTTGTAAGTTAACTATAACTAATAAAGGCCAATACTGACCTTCTAAGCGTTTCTTTAAGTCCTCTCACCACGCGCCCAAAAAAGCATAGACACGAATAAGAATGCTTGAGAAAATAGTATCGATACATTTTGCGCTACAAGCAGAGTGCTACTAGCACAGCAACCGTCCTTCTTCTCGACACCTCGGAAACATCGGGAAAATCCTATTGCAGTCTAAATCATGAAAGTTTCTCAATGTGAATATAATTTCCGGCCTTAGTTGCTGTTTTTGAAGACACCTGTTTTTGCGTGAAAAAAACTCGAGCCCGAGTCTTGCGCACCTTTTCAGGAGGCACCTAGCATAGTGGTGAGGTGTTAAATGCGAGATTGACAGATCGCGTATTCCATCATCTGCCATCGCAGTATTAGTGTGTGAAGACGAACTCTCACTTCAACTCTAGCTTCAGGTCTACCATGGCCTGATAACTTTGGCTACAAAAAGGCTACCAGGTGAAAGTTCTGGACGCAAAAAAAAAATTGCCAAAAAGAGGTTCACTCAACATAAGAACTCAATTTGGAGTTTGGGAAAAAATATAAGCTGGCTATGCTTAGACAGGCCGTATAGCCTTTCATAGATCCTCTGCGAATAGCAAAAACTGCAATTATTATGAATTTTAGATGGGGTTTACAGTATGGCTAATTTTTCGGTCGATGTTTGTTTCAGACTTCAACTATATTTGTCGTCGGCTATAACGACCGAGATGTGTCCACTTTTTTCAAGAACAAAGCCAAAGGCTTCGAGGGACTCAAGATCGTTCTCACAACTCTTGAAAGAAGCAAGCTGATCAAAGACCCAAAGACGTTTCCAGGTGAGTCAAATCAAAAGTGCTCAAATAGGCTGAAGGTTCAAATGATGATCAAAATGTAGATCGAACACTTTGTACTAATGAACATGAGAAATGCACACAACTCGAAATTCACGCCGCCATAAAGTCTTTTGAGACAAACAAGATTTTGATCGGAGTTTTTGAGGAAAAGCTTAGAGTCGAGTTGCGTTAAAGTAAAACATTTTCTGAGGAGCGAATGGTTAAGTGAAAACACCAAAAAGCACTGCAAAATTGAAAAAGTTTTCCTGATTATATCTTCCAATTTTTTATGCTAATGTTTTTATATATGGAAAAAGACAGAAAGATAATCTGAAAAATCAATGTAACAACGAACGGGGGAGATAGGTCACATATTGTTTTCTAAATTAGACGGTGATTTTTAATCTTTTCATTCCAATTTTTGAAGAAAGTGACGGAAAATTTGTGTTTTTTTTCTACAGGTGTTTTTTTGGCTTTTTAAATAGCAATTTTGATGCAATTTTTTTATGCTTCGAAAGAAATTGTTGAGCTCAAATTTGAGAAGATGTTTCACCTGTGATAAATTTTTGTAAAACTATGAGGGTTTGAAGAGTGCCAGATTGGGAAGTTTGGGATGATTACCGAGTGATAGTAGTCGTATTCAGAAAGATCAGTCGCAGGGGGGTTGGGTTTGTGTCAGCGAGTGCGTGGGCTAGAGCAGAAGGAAATTTTTCAAATTTAGGAACGAAAAGTGATTCTTTTTTATACAAAAATACAATAGCAAACAATACTAGTAAATTTATATTTAAAAAAATTTATGAATTAAATACATTTGTTCAGACCGTAGTACTATATCAATTGATAATCTTATCTGAATTGTTGGATAGTTTCATAGTTGCATAATTTTAACAGATGTATGTTTCATAAGCACGTGGATTAGATATTCAATAGCTTGACTGTCTAAGAGTTTCATATGAACAACCTTAGGCAAAATCAAAGAAGTGATAAATCCATATTTAACATAAATTTAAAAGGTACAAAGTGTGTGTAATTTATACTGCATATCTTGAGAGCTTGTGCCCACAAAGCCCACTTTTTTTCAGTCCAGAAAGTTTTAAATTTTCAGTTAGTTGATTTTTTTGTAGGCCAGGCGTTGTGTTTGCAATAGCATAAAACAATTATCACACTCTGTGCTGAAGTTTCTTGACCAATAAGATTTTGTTGCCAGCAAAAGTTTCTGGAATTTTTTTTAACTTATAGAAAACTTTTTGCACTCCTTGCAAGAGAAAAGAGAAAGAAGAACACGGAGATGCAACAAAAAAGGTTATCGATCATCGGACGTTGAAGAAAGCTAAGTAGTATAGCTTTCTGCTGATTATTTCGTGATCAAAAGTTCATAAAAATTGATTGAAATTGCAAAAAAAGCTCTTAAAAACAAATTTGTCCTGAAATTATAAGAAAAAATTAAACAAATCATAAAAAACGTTACTTCTACTTGAAAAGATTCGAAAAAGCATTGATTGATGAAAAAATCAAGATAAAAAAAAATTTTAAAAATTTTTTTTAAAATTTTTTCAAGGAACAATTAAGAGTGAACTGAAAAGTTTCCAAGAAAAGATAAAACCAAGAAGATTTGGCAGAAAAAACTTCCTTCAAAAAAACTTCTAAATGTAAGCCAACAAAAAAATCTATAATTTGATCAGAACATAACAAAAAAAAAACATTTATAAATAAAAACAAATTGGTGAAAAAAAAACTTTTTTTAGAAAACTGTCTGAACAAAATTTTATTATCAGTTAGTTTCTTCAAAAAATTTATCTATTTTTCCACAAAATATTCATATCATATTCGACTTTGAACTTCATCAATTGTTCGAAAAAAAACAGTTAAAAAGAGCCAAGAGCCAGCTAATTCGGAAATTTTGTTAAACCAAAACTTACAGGCTATTTTTTTTTATAGTAGCAAAAAAACTGATAAATAACTAAAAAACAGAAAAATCAGAAGCCTATACAAAAGAAATTTTTTCATAAAAATTTTCCAATCAAAATATAAGATCGGCCATTAGAATCTTCATTGCACAAAACACATTGTTGCCTGATTTTTTGCCGAGAAAATGATTTGAGCGGCAACCAGGAAGTAGCGCTAATGGAAACCGCATACCCTGATAAATTTGAAAAAGTTATAATTTTGTTAGTTTGTGTTGGATTTTTGTGAATCAAAATAGAACAAGGACCAATAAATCAAAAATCAATTGTTTCGATTATTTCAACACCGATATCACATTCACAAAAACTTTTTTCAACGAGCAAACTTTGTTAACCAAAATAAAACAAAACGAAAAGTAAAACTGATGCAAAATACATAAAAGAAGATGTCAAGATAGCTTTCCCAAACAAATTGTCCGAATTATGTCAGTTGCTTGGTCTAGATTTGAGGCGCGGTATTTTTTTCTGGGGCCAACTTGAACCACCTTTTTCCTTGGACTTTATGCTTTTTGTGTTCAACAATTTTGAAGTGTGGTTTTGTTGGTGATACTTAATCACATCTATTGCTACTTTTCGCTAATAAACAGGGTATCAAAAACAGTACGTTGAGCTCAAAACAGTCTATTAATTGGAACTTTCTTGCAACCCCGGTAAAATAAAGTCATAAGGAGTAACTACGGAATCTTGAGTCAAGCAAGGAACACTCATACCTTTTTTTAACTGGTGAAGCTAACTCTATACTTTTGCAAAGTCTCAGAGTAATTTTAAAAACAATGTATACTTTGTGAAAACCAAAAAAAAAATTTATGTTAACAGATATGATTTTCATTACAGAAACACTTCTTCAAAATTACTAGTTATAAATCAGTATTGATAAATAATTGGTTGATTTATCACAAAACTCAATGCAAAAAAAATTGCAAAAATTCCAGAGCAATTTTGATTTTTTGTTGAGTCACTTGTTTGTGTTTGTGTTTCAAACGTATCTTCGTCCAATGTGATTGAACATTAGGATAAAACCAAATAGAGTTTTGCTCAAAATCACTAAATTGATTCTTGTATTTCATCTGGCAACCATTACCCAATGTCCATCTGGTATTTTCTTGGAAAAATTCACACTTTGAAATGTGTTGTCTCGCAGCATTCGAAATTGAAACCCATTTGCAAAAAAAAGAACAAATCATTTGAATTTCAATTGATAAATCCTGTCTATGATTGTTCTCAGGAAATAACTATCCTTGTTTCAAAATGTATCTGTTCGATCCATTGACACTGTTGAAATATTTTTCTAAACAACATTTCCAAACAACGACAATAATATTTGCCATCTATCAGGAAAATTAAGCTTAAGTCCTTCAGGTGCACCAACAATTCTAGGAAAAGAAACAAGTCTTGATTCCACGATTGAGTCGATCGGATTTCAAGCACCAAATGAAAGGGGTTACTATAACTCGCAAGCGGTGTAGGAGGCCCCTCTTATACAAAGTGTTGAAATTGATTTGTCTTAAATTAGACTACCTGATGATTAATTGTTGAATTGAAGCGTGTACGGTTTTAGACACCGTATATTATCTCGCAAAATAAGACGCTAGAGTTAATTGTGGATAAGAAATATGGGTTGCTTGAACAATTTCTACTTTCAAACGAGTAGCAAAAAATAGCTATTCATAAAAGACATGATTTCGACATCTTCGTTACTTGTGGTCAAATACTCGTAGGTTGTGCTTACGTTTGTCATTTTCAGATAACAGAAGATATATATCAAATGACTAAACTCGAGTTCTTAACTTTGTTTTTACTCAGACCTCTTTATCAGAAAACTCCGTTTCAATTAATTTTCCTTGAGCATCAGAAAAGTTAGGAAACTCAAAATTTCAAAGAAAAGTGGATAATTTCGAAAGTCAAAGTAACACCCCAGTTGGAAAAGTTGCTTGTCAAATTAATTTATTTAGTATATTTAGAGAGGGCAATTTTTGAATTCTCGATAATGTTTTTCGAAGGTGCGTCAAATGTCACATTATTGACAGCTTTTTTGATGTTGCTTCAATATTCAACTCTATATATTACTTCAATTTTAAACCTAAGTAAGAGTTGCATTCAATATTCAACAAAAATACAATTATTGCAGCATCATCTGAAATGTTCATAAGTGTTTCTGATCGTATGTAGTTTTAAATGTAACCAGCACTTCGGGTCTGTTGAAAACGTCGAGACTTCAATACTTTGCTGCCATGGGGCTTCAGTTTTAGTACGGAAAGTTTTTGAGCACAACAAAAAGCTTTAGGCATTTTTGATTGTTTCTTTTTTTGGATGATCCACTAGTTTGAGGCGCTAGTTTTCTAAATGTGGTCTTTTTTTGTCTGTTGACCGGAAACCTTCCGCCAATCTGTTTCTTCGATGTCGACTTGGTTGCTCGTTAGACCACTTTCTCGACACTTGTCTTGACTTCCACCTTATTCATATTTTCTTGCATCATATTTGCATGTTGCAGCAAACTCTTTGCCAAATTGATCGGTGGATTGTATAACGTATTTGGAGGCAAATGGAAGTCTTAGAGCGAGCTGCGCTGATGCCTAGTGATCCGATACCCTAATCACGTTGCCTCCCAAGACTGCGAAGTGAATTGCTTAGAGCTTTTTGCTGACAATAGCGACCATCCATCCCATTTTTTTCTAATCTTTGTGATTCTGTCTATGTAAAAATTTCCATCTAACCCTTCACCATTCTCATTCCGTAACTAGTAAGTTGACGTTAAATTTGAAACAATCGCTTTTTTATATAAATTATCTTTGAAATGCTGAAGGAGGCCCTTGAAGGAAGGCATATACTTTGATCAAATACAATTTTATTGTAAAAAGTTAATATTTGTAAAATTATTTGACGACAATCTAATGCCTCTGTCGACTCAATAACTCCTTGTCTGGACGTGATCGGGCCACATCCAATTAATTTTCAAAGAATTTACTAGTAGCGTTTTTGACTTGATAGCTGTCTCTGCCAAAAATGCTTTTTTTTATTCAATATGCTGTTTTTGACTCT